GGGGGGGGGGGGGGGGGGGGGGGGGGGGGGGGGGGGGGGGGCGGGACCGTCGCTGTGTGAATACCTGGTCCTGTCTCACAGCAACCCTCCATCTCCAATTCCCACTCCCCTCCCCCCTTGCACAGACTTAGCCTGAATCGTCCCAAGAGAAGGCATATTATGGACCAGAACCCCTCAAAATACTTTAAGAAAGTAGTGTAGACCCTAATGTTTTCTTATTTTTAACGAAAATGCAAACTGTCATGTTCCAGGTGCAAGGTCAAACTACTCAACATTAAGCAAAACACAATTTATTGAAATTCCTCTTTCTTTCTATGGTTGCATTTTGAATGACTTAACTCTACTGGAAAACGTAACAGAATAATTAATACAGTAACGATTACTAATTAACTGTTCCAATATAGTAACATCCCATAAACACACCTTTTGGCAAAAAAGGGCAAATTCGGACAAAATCGATTTGTCTCACAGGTAACCCAGCAGCAGGGAGAAATCCCAGCTTCTAGCTGTAACCGAGAGACGGGACAGATAGCTTTGACTTCCTCAAGACCACAACAACAACTGTTTAAAGCTTAACCTAAAAACTTTAAAAAAAATCTAGAAATCCTGGTCTGAGAGAGCTGGCCACACCCAGCCAGGCTGCTTCTATTGTTCCAACTCTTTTTTTAAAAAAAAAAAACCCTCAAGGCTTCACCATCTGTTTACTATGATGGTTTTGGTAGGCTGCTCAGCGCCTCTGCCTTATCACCTCTTTAAAAAACACAGGATAAAATACATCTCTTAAAGCCACAGCATCATCACAGCGGGGTGTACCCCTTCTTCAGCTTGTCCTGTCAGCACCTGCTTCAGCTCCTTCCACGTGGACCTGTCTCACTTTCCCTTAAGCGCATCTGGCTCTTTATTTCCAACCCTTTCCTGTATTCTGCACATCTCCCTGCTCTCTCTCTCTCTGAACAAAACAGAAGTTTTAGGTTTGCTGCCCACAAAGGGGTGGGAGCATCGATTGTTAGATAGTGTGAAGGTAAGGTGTTTAGTTCACAGTGGCTCAGCGGTTAGCACTGCTGCCTCACAGCGCCAGGGACCCGGATTTGATCCCACCCTCCGGTGACTGTGTGGTGTTTGCACATTCTCTCCGTGTCTGCGTGGGTTTCCTCCGGGTGCTCCGGTTTCCTCCCACAGTCCAAAGATGTGCAGGTTAGGGTGGATTGGCCATGCTAAATGGCTGATATTGTCCAGGGATGTGCATGCTAGGTGGGTTAGCCGTGGGAAATGCAGGGTTACAGGGATAGGGCGGTGGGGGAGTGGGTGGGATGCTTTTTGGTGCCAACGCGACAGGCTGAATGGCCTCTCTCCACACTGCGTGGATTGTAATATTTAGCCTGGCTGACCTCTTCCTCTTCCTCTCCTCTCCTCTCCTCTCCCGCCTCCCCTCCAGCACCCCAGCCCCCTGACAGACCATGCAGCGGGAGAAGCTGAAATGTAAGAACCTGCATGAGTACATGAGGAGCCTCAGCCCCAGCATCCTGGACAAACTCTACAACCATCCAGCAACGTGCCTGGCTGTCTTCAGGTAAGCTGGCATTGGGACGCTTCGGGGGAGGGAGGGAGGGAGGGAGGGAGGGGGGGAGCGAGCGAGCTGTCCATCTTTATGTCACTTTGGCCTCTCTGAGACGATAGAGACAGGTCTCAGTTGAAGTGCAGGAGACATCCCTGAAATGACACCCGTTTCCTCCCAAGGCCAGGATTCGTAGTGCCCCCATCTCGGATGTGCTAAATCTGCACGGCTTTTTATTTGCAGAAGTAATCCTTTGGTTGGATGTGGGCGATGCTGCCAAGGGTAAGCGTTTACTGCCCGTCCCTAATTGCCCTCTGAGTCGCGAGGCTCGCTTGGCCCCATTAGCGGAGAGGTCAGAAGTCAGCCTCAGCGCTGTGGAGTTCCCGAGCCAGGTGCAGGGCAGACCCGGTCAGGAGAGCGGATTTCCGTCCCCCTCCTGAGGGACGTGACCGAACGTGATGGGGTTTTCCCCGACAATTGATGCAGTTCCGTTCCAGGTTTTATTCCTTGCATTTAAATTCCGCCAGCTGCCGTGGTGGGGATCTGAACAGGGAGAACTCGTCTGGGCCTCTGCTAAAATATGACACAGGACGAGGTGGGGGTGGGAGCAGGATGGCTCAGTGGGTTAGCGCCGCTGCCTGTCTGCGTGGAGTTTGCATGTTCTACCCCCGTGTCCGCGTGGGTTTCCTCCGGGTGCTCCGGTTTCCTCCCGCAGTCCAAAGGTGTGTAGGCTGGGGTGGACCGGCCCCGCAGTGCCCAGCCCTGTGTAGGCTGGGTAGATTAGTCACAGGAAATGGCAGGGTTACAAGGATAGGGTATGGGGGGGTGGGGGTGGGCAGTGGCTGGGTCTGGGTCTGGGTAGGATGGTCCTGCACACCTGGTAGTCAGATGGCGTTGGACCCAAACGTCGGCTGACGGATTTGAGAGTGCCTACTTTGTGTGCGGTGTCGGCGTAAACTGATGCGAGTTCCTTTCTGACAGTCCGTTTCCTGTCTCCTTCCCTCTTCTCAGGGAGCTGCCAGCCCTGGCTCAGAGTTACGTGATGCGGCTGTTGTTCTTGGATCAACCCTTGCCCCAGGCTGCCGTCACCTTCTGGGTGAAGAAAGATAACCAACGGTACTTTACCCCCCTCACCGCGCTACGCCCCGAGCTGCCCACCTCTCTCCAGCTCCTGCAGACGTCGATACCAGTGCTTTTTTTTTTAAATGATGCCAGTTTCCTCTTCCTGCTGGCAGTGCTCAGGCCTGCAGTCACCCAAGACACAACAGGGCATAATTTCAGGTGTAGAGCTGGATGAACACAGCAGGCCAAGCAGCATCATAGGAGCAGGGAGGCTGATGTTTCGGGCCTAGACCTTTCATCGGATGCTGCTTGGCCTGCTGTGTTCATCCAGCCCTACACCTTGTTATCTCAGATTCTCCAGCATCTGCAGTTCCTGCTATCTCTGATATAATTTCAAGTGTGTTGAGCTATTTCGATTAAATTTTAAACTAATTTACGAGGGGACTGTGCGTTTTGTAGGTGGAGGGGAACCACACTGTGATCTACTCTATACGATAGTGTGTAGCGCGAATGTAGTTAGAACGCTCCTCAAAGCATCGAGGCCTGAGCCGTTTTACTGTATGTGTCCCTGCTCACGTGTATGTCTCATCAGTCTTTCCGAAAATGGGCCATGATAGGTTTAACCCGGATGTTGCTGGAGAAACGAAGTAGCTTTGACCACGCAGTTAGTGTTTCAAGTCCAATATGAGTCTGGATCCGGCCGCTTTGTTTAACGATAGTGGAGGGTGTAATGAAACTTGTGGAAAATGGGAGACAACAGTGGGTCTGACCCGCTGTCCCACCCAGTCCCAGAGGGAGGGGGGCCGGGGGGGGGGGGGGG